CTTGTCCTCTTCAGGTTGGAGGGGAGTTCCTGCCTCAAGTGGAGGAGTTCAAGTATCTCGGGGTCTTGTTCACGAGTGAGGGAAGAATGGAGTGGGAGATCGACAGACGGATCGGTGTGGCTGCCGCGGTAATGGAAAAAAGCACATAAGCTAAATGTGCTTAAGATATTTTTTCGGCACTAGTGGCCTTTATCTTTACTTTTTGACAGTAGGCAGACAGGAAAGAGGGGTAGAGAGAGGGGGAGACATTTGGCAAATGTTTCCAGGTCCGGGACTCGAACCCGGGATGGCCGCTTCGAGGACTGTAGCCTGGTCACGCGCTTAACCCCTACACCATCAGTGCCGCGCCGTGCACATTTATTTTAAGACTACATACAAAGGAAGATTCCCCCCTTTAACAGTGCTATTGAGCACATAGCGTCTCGCTGCCCACTTCTAAATGATTTATTATTTCTTTATTTAGGGGAAAAAAAATGTCAGAGTTAGGATACGCTGCTGGCTTTGGATAAATAAGTCAGGGATATCACAGGAGGTAGATTTTAACCTCCCTACCAATGGTGTGAGACAGATCTTTTTAACTAATGATTTCAAATACATTTTCTAGACTGTGTATAAAAAGCTGTTGTTGCTTTTATAAATCCAAAATACAGTGCTTATAAGTAGGATTTCATAAGTTTCAAACCATGTCTCCATTTGTCTTCAGAGTTTAGATTACCTTTCTACTTATCTAAATTGTTGTAGTGATGCTTTGGCCAAATCTAATGCTGACAGCCTTCATCATGACATTAGATTAAGCTAAAATATTCTTTTGTTTTGCAGATGATGTTCCTGAGATTGTTAAACCCTGTCCAAATGCATGGTTTACGACCCAGAAGCTCTTAAAATAACATTTTTCAATATAAATAATGTTGTTTAAAATTAATAATCTTGTAATGCTAGTTTAGAACTCAGTAAACCATTAGAATAAAGGCATACTTAGGTTTTAGCTTCTTAGATTTTTGCGTATAGAGCTTTAATTAAACTGCTGCGTTACATTGTTACCTAGTGTTTTGGAACATCGTCCTTGAAAACTTAAGTATTGTGTAATGTTCCTGGAACACACATTTTCATGATCAGTGCTTGATAACATCTTACTTGGTGACCTACATGAACTTTCTAATGCTCACTCAGAGTGAAGTCAGAAAAGAACTGAGAAACGCACAGAACCAAGGAGAAGGCCAGACATATTTATCAAGCCTGATTAACTTGATTGGGATTTGGTTGCAACAGAAAAACAATTATTACTGTTTACCATAATTTTTAATACTTTAGTCTTTGTTTAAAGTTCAGACAAAGTTTCATCTTGTTTTTCATCCATGCCTCTTTTTACAAGAGCTTTTTTAGTAAATGTTCAATTTCAGGTGGGGATTGGTTGGTGGTAACCACACACCATTCCCTTGTTTATCGAGACCTTACACACAATTCCAGGCAGAGTAAGATGTTTAATGTACCTCATGAAGTTAATGAACTTCTGGAATCTTTCCATTTCCTCTGCTTGTAACCTTTCCCCCAATTACATCAAATAAAAGAAATCTAAATTATATATGAAGCCTTGTTTAAATTTTAAAGAGAGAGACCTTGATAAGACTTTTAAATGGCCAGTCTCAAATCAGTTCTTTAATAAGACTGATAAAAATTATTTAGATATCAATATAATTAAGTAGCATTTATTATCTGCCACAATTTTATTCATGAAACCCCTCCCCTATCCTGGGACACCAGCTCTAAATAATACAGTTTACCTTGATGGCATTTAGTATATAGATGTCTTTCTTTCTTTCTCTCTCTCTCTCTCTCGCTCTCTCTCTCTCTCTCTCTCTCTCTCTCTCTCTCTCTCTCTCTCTCTCTCCCCCCCCCCCCCCCCCCCCCATCTCCCCGTGTGCCTCGCCATCATATTTCCAGGGCTTTAATAGTTTCACAGCAGTGCATTTTATGGCCTCTCTTTGTGTTGCTTCTCTAATGACACTGCTGTCAAACATGGTGACTTAGAATTTAACGGATTGTCTTCCTTGCGACTTTGTTCTGGACAATTCTTTGCATAATTGTCTCACAGCTCTACAGCTGTGCATAGACTTCTGAAAGGGGGAAAAAAAGAAATCCTGCTTTCAAATGAATAACGAAAGGTCTAAGTGGAAAACATAATATAATGGACTAAATGCTTATCTTATTTATTACACACAGAGTGCTGTATTTCAAGCTATTTATTTCTGTTAATTTTGTTGATTACAGCTGTAAGCCATAATCACCCTCCCTGGGCTGGAGGGGTTTGAGTGTCCCAATGATCCTAGGAGCTATGTTGTCAGGGGCTTTATGCCCCTGGTAGGGTCAACCAAGGCAAACAGGTCCTAGGTGAGGGATGAGACAAAGTGCAGCCCACAGACCCCTTATGATGATTGCCACAAATGGACACAGTGTTCCCTCGCCCGGACGCGGGTCACCGGGGCCCACCTTGGAGCTAGGCCTGGAGGTGGAGCAAGCTGGCGAGCGCCTGGTGCCCGGGCTTTCACCCATGTAGCCCGGCCGGGGAGAGCCCGAAGAGGAAACGTAGGTCCCCCTTCCAAGGGGCTCACCACCCGTGGGAGAGGCTATAGAGGTCGGATTGAATGTGTTATGGGTGGCGACTGAGGCGGAGACCTTGGCAGTCTAATCCTCGGCTGCAGAAGCTGGCTCTTGGGACGTGGAATGTAATCTCTCTGGTGGGAAAGGAGAAATAGTCGGGCTCACCTCAACGCACGACTCTGGCTCTGGAACCAGTCTCCTTGAGAGGGGTTAGGCGCTCTGCAGTTGCCCCTGGTGAGAGGCGCCGAGCTGGGGTGGGCATGCTTGTTGCCCCCCATCTCGGCGCCTGTACATTGGGGTTCACCCTGTTGAACGGGAGGGTAGCCTCGCTCTGCCTACGGGTGGGGAGACGGGTTGTGACTGTTGTTTGTCCTTATGCACCAAACGGAAGTTAAGACTACCCACTCTTTTTGGAGTCCTTGGAGGGGGTGTTGTAGAGCACCCCTCCAGGGGACTCCCTTGTTCTGCTGGGGGAATTCTACGCTCACATTGAAGGGGTGTGGTTGGGAGGAATGGCCCTCCTGTTCTGAACCCGAGTGGTGTTTTGTTATTGGATTTCTGTGCTTGTCATGGATTGTCCATAACTAACACCATGTTCAGGCATAAGGGTGTCCATATGTACTCTTGGCACCACGACACCCTAGACCGCAGTTCGATAATCAACGTTGTTGTCGTGTCATCTGATCTGCAGCCACATGTCTTGGACACTCGGGTGAAGAGGGAGCGGAGCTTTCCACTGACCACTACCTGGTGGTAAGCTGGCTCCGAAGGTTGGGGAGGATGCCGGTCAGACCCGGCAGACCCAAATGAATCTTGAGGGTCTGCTGGGAACGCCTGGCGGAGATTCCCGTGAGGAGGAGCTTCAACTACCACCTCTGGGAGAGCTTCAAACACGTTCTGGGAGAGGTGGGGGACATTGAGTCCGAGTGGGCCATGTTACGTGCTTCCATTGCCGAGGCGGCTTACCGGAGCTGTGGTCGCAAGGTTGTTGGTGCCTGTCGTGGCGGCAATCCTCGAACCCACTGGTGGACACCGGCAGTGAGGGATGCTGTCAGGCTGGAGAAGGAGTCCTGTTGGGTCTTTGTGGCCTGTGGGACTCTGAAAGCAGCTGATGGGTACTTGCAGTCCAAGCAGCATCCGACTCGGGTGGTTGCTGAGGAGCAAACTTGGGTGTGGGAGGACTTCAGAGAGGCCATGGAAAACGACTCCCGTACGGCTTTGAGGCGATTTTGGTACACCATCCGGCGTCTCGGGGGGGGGGGGAAGAGGTACACCACCAACACTGTTTTTAGTGGGGAGGGTGTGCTGTTGACCTCAACTCAGGACATTGTGGGTCGGTGGGCAGAGTACTTCGAAGACCTCCTCAAACCCACCGGCACGTCTTCCACTGAGGAAGCGGAGCTTTGGGACCATGGGGCGGGCTCGCCAATCTCTGGTGCTGAGGTCACCGAGGTGATTAAAAAGCTCCTCGGTGACTGGGGTAAAGGTGGGTGGTTTACCTTGGGTGGGGATGGGCATCACTTGGACCTGGGTGGTTCCGGTTCGGATTCTGGTTCCTTGTATGGGTTCCGGTTCCTGATGCCAGTCCCGGTTCTGTCTGGGGGAGGGGGATCAGAAGGGTCTGCATGGTTTGGGCGGGCGGGCTGGCCGGGGTTCATCTCGGGGTGGACTGGTCTCGGCTTCTTGGTGGGTTTTGGCTCAGTGGGCTCTCTGCCTTTTGTGGGCTTTGGTGTGGGTTTTCTCGGGGGCTACTTCTGGCAGGGGTATGGGGGTTGGGGATGTTCTTGGACCTGGATGCTGTGGGTCTTCTCAAGGGGGTGCATTTTTGCAGGGGGCTTTGTTTTTGGAGGGCTGGTGGGGCACATTTACATGGTGTAGGCTTTGTGCATGGCTTTTGTTTTGGGTGCTCATTGCTGCGTTCTGTCCTCCGCTATTTGGCATGATGTGGTGTTGGGGCGATGGTCCTGTGCATGGCGGCTCTGGCCTCCGTGTGTGGGTGCTGCAGGGCGGGCATCACTGGGCTCGGCAGTTGCATCGGGCTTCTTGGCCTTATACTGGGGTGGGGTTTGCTTGTCTGCTGGGTGGTTCCTGGTGGGTGGTGTGTGCTTGGGGTTGGCGGTCTTCACCTTGCCCCTACCGATGTATGGAACGATGTGTGGTGTTGCTGTGGCTGCAAAGGGGTGGCTTTGGTGCCCGGTCCATCGATTGGGGAGGTGCAGGGCTCCGACGAGGCGGGTCTTGGCCAGGCAGTGTGCAGTGTTGATTGAGATGTGGCTTCGCTTTGGTGGAGAGGCTGGCCAGCGTGCTTGGTGCGGTGAGGTGTGCCGTGCGGTAGGGTGGGGGGCCGGCATCCTGGGGCACCTCTGGGGTTTGGTTGTGGGGTTGGCGTTGTGCCCAGTCCTTGGCATGCTGTGGTGGCCTTCCTCCAATGCTGCCTTCTGTGGCTCTTGCCCTTGGCCAGGTGCAGGGCTACGGTTGGCGGTGGGGTGGGTGGAGCATGTTTTGTGCCTGCACTGGGGCGGCTGGTGGGATGTGCTTGGCCTGGAGCCGTTGGCTTGTCTGGCCCTGTTATCTGGCTGGTGCATGTTTCCCTCTCACAGACTGATGGGCTGGGGCTGCTGGCGCTGGTTGAATGGTTGGCGGGCTTGGCATTGCTCTGCTGGCTGTTGTGTCGGGGGGGATCAAGGGGTGGGGGGACGCCGGCCCCGAGTGCTTTCCACTGGCCGAGGACCTCTTGCTG